TGGGACCAGGGCAGCTCTGCCAGCAGTTTACTGAACATCCAGTCTGCCTCCTCTGGGGGAAGAAACCCGGGCAGCAGCCGCAGTCTGGACGGAGGGAAACACCATGACACTTAGGCTAAGTACCCAAAAAAGTTATGTGAATAAGCAGAAGGTAGCACACTCTGCTATGGACAGTCTTGCACTGATGTACATTTCCCAAAGATATTCAAGTGACTGTTATTTTTGTATGTATTGATTGTTGTGTGTCTGTTGATTGTGTATATACATATTTTTATATATATATATTTCTATTTTTGTATTCGGGATTGTGGGAAACGGTATTTCGATCTCTGTCTGTACACACAAACTGAAAGATTGTCAATAAAGTTGACTTTGACTGTCGATTTAGTGTTTGTGCTGGAAAGTCCATAATGGGAGACCATGGTGGGTAAAGGGCACAATCAGAAATCCCTAGTCCTGATATCAAGGTTATATTCGTTTAAAAATAGTTTTAGTTCAGTTTAAGATAGCTGTCAGAGTGATTCATGTAGTTTTCGTTATGTTTCAGTTTAGTTGTAAAATGTACGTGTTCTCCTTTTACACCTTTTTTTACAAGCTCTTCTCTCAAAACATGATAAATCAGGGCCACGATCATCAAATGTATTGCAGATTATTAACTGAGAGGTTCCTACTGGATATCCATGAAGCTTCCTTGCTCTTTTGGTGGCTTTATGTATTTAAATCTTAATAAAAGCAGAAGCTCGATGTCTCAAAGTAAATCAAATGTTGTTCAGTAGGCCTTATGTAAAGCACATGTTACAACATATTCAGACTTTTAAAAAACATAGCCCTCTTGCATGTGTGGAGAGGCAGAAGCCATGACATTCACAAGAGCTTTAACCATTTTTTCTTAAATCAAATCAAGTTTTATTTATATAGCACATTTATAAATGATTTTTGGTCGAGCCAAAGTGCTGTACATATAATAAAAATAGCCACTTTACAGCAAATACAACAGCACAGATTGCTCAGAATAAGGTATTAAGGGATTACTGCCATCTAGTGGACTTAAAACTCAATCACAGATGTATATCATTCATCACACTGGTATTCACCTCTTTTTCAGTGGATTTAAAGTATGTTTTAACTATACAAATACACTGTACTCACATGGACACTCCTGATGGTCCATCGCTGATCTCATGAATACCTGCCTGCCTGTCAAAATGATGAGTGTTAGCCAACATGTGCATGGTGTACTAAAAACATTAGTAGGAACGAGACAGAAACACATTTGATTTGGTTGTATACAAATACTTACTCTATCACCTTCTCTGGTGGGACAGCTCTAACTGGCTGTGATAGAAAAGACAGAACAGAGACAGATTAAGCACTTTGTTAAGAAACGTTCTAATCGACTGAAATGACCAATTTGGGCCAAAAATTCAAAGGTGACTTTTGTGTTTGCCATCTACCTTGGAGGGCTGATGAAACTCAAAAGTATTAGGTGTTTTCTGGGGCCCACAACCCCAAGAAGTAGGGGCTGGGTTTTCATGTTTGGGTTGTTGGTTGTTCGGAACTGCAACTAGAAAAAAACAAAATATAAGAAAGATGTCGGCTCCATACCAGCCAGGTAGATGGGCTGAAAATCCAGCATCCAGGTCTTGAAGGCAAGGCGAGGCAAGTTTATTTATGCAGCACCTTTCAACACAAGGCGATTCAAAGTGCTTTACAAAAATGAAAGACATTAAGAAAACACATTTAAAAACACTCATTTAAAAGCAAAGATAATACAAAAATAATAACACGGGTACATGGATAAAAGTTACAGTGCAGTTTAAGATGTGAATAGTTCAATTAAAAGCAGCGACAAAAAGAAAAGTCTTCAGCCTGGATTTAAAAGTATTCAGAGTTGCAGCGGACCTGCAGGTTTCTGGGAGTTTGTTCCAGATATTTGGAGCATAATAACTGAACGCTGCTTCTCCATGTTTAGTTCTGACTCTGGGGACAGAAAGCTGACCAGTCCCTGAAGACCTGAGAGATCTGGATGGTTCATCATTTAGCAGGAGGTCAGAAATGTATTTTGGGCCTAAACCATTCAGTGCTTTATAAACCAGCAGCAGTATTTTGAAATCTATTCTGTGACACACAGGAAGCCAGTGTAAAGACTTCAGAACAGGAGTGATGTGATCCACTTTCTTAGTGTTAGTGAGGACTCGAGCAGCGGCGTTCTGAATCAGCTGCAGCTTCCTAATAGATCTTTTAGTGAGACCTGTGAAGACACCATTACATGTATATTGCTATACTCATTCAGGCGGGAGCAGACAGAGGGAGTCACATATACTACAAATACAACATATTTACATCAACTCTTAACTTACCCTTTGGAGCAGAGGGTTTCGGCGCTTGTTTGGCCCAGGAGCCCTGGACTCTGGCACGCTGACGTTTATCCGACATCAAATCATCTGGGGAGTGACAGACAAGATTTCCTCAACATGGAAACAAATTCTCCACGAACCAGAGATAAGGACACCTGTGCTGTGCAAGATACAAAACCCAAAGCTTCGTGAGGAAATAAAGGAGTATATCGTTGTGTAATGCTAACTCAAGTATTTTAGGTATTGAAACTCTATGTTTTATAATGGCATTCATTAGTCTTATTTCCCATTATTCTGTATTTCACTGCACAATCTTTGATGTCGTTTTATGGATCTGCTTTTCGTCTTGATGTTGTTGTTTTTTTTACACCAACCTCCCCAATATCTGCTGATCAAACTAAGACTTTTTGCTAGATTATGAACATTATACATGCTACTGAAAAGGAATGTTCACTTGACTAGCAACAGGTTCAGCAAAAGATTTACTAGAGGCAAAAGACTATGACTTATTGATTGCTTTTTAATGTTCTGAAGTGTCTTATTTATTCATTTGGTATGTTTCAAAATGAATTATTTCAAATACTGTACAGGTATTTTCTCATTTAAAAACTGAAATGTATATATTACACATTTTATTTTACATTTTTTGAAGATTTCTAACTTTTTTAGTACTTTTTTCTCCTACTGTGAATATTATCGTGCATCAAGATTACAAAGCAAATTCGTTGTATATGAAAATGTACTTGGTATTCAACCTGAGAGATTATGCAGAGATGGTGTAACTCATACCTGCTTTGCTTAAGTTGCATTTAAGTGGCATGTTGACAAAAAACAACCAAAAACAAAATGTATAACATGACTTTATCGTTAATTAGTGAAGCTAATAGCTAGTCTGACTGGTAGGTTGAGAGAAACATGCTAGTTAGCTAAACCCGCTTATAGTTATTAAAATAAACACTTTTCACATTTCAGAATGAAAAACTAATATCCGGATAACTTGTGTTGAAACAAATCTTTAAACTGCTTACCAGAAAGGCTGCTAAAAGCAATAAAGCCTATAAAGAGAAGAGAAACTCCACATGAGCTAGGACGTCAGTTGAAAGCAGCCATTTAACCGTGTTACAAAAAAATAAATCCTACCCGGAACAGAGAGGCGTAGTAAGGTACCGCTACATTTTTATTTGTTCTCTCATTTATTTTAGCAAAATAACATGTTTTTTGTGTATAAGGGGAGAAGTAGGCAAATTAAATAGAACAACCGAGCCAGGGATTAATCAAACTAGACAAACATATATTATAAAGATATCGCCTTTTGTTTATCAACACTTGAAAGTAGTTTTAGATATTTGCTGATGATCTTTTACACATTAAATATAATTTGTTTTTGTTCATTGCTTAATTCTACTAATATTCATAATTTTTTGTGTCTAAAAATGATTATCTATTTTATAAAACCAAAGATTTTCAAATGTCAAAATAGGTTTTTAACGATTTCTGAATATCTATCAAAGAGAAGCAACTTGTTTGTTTTTTTCACATGTAATTCAATTCAATTCAATTCAAAACCTTTATTTATACAGATAAAACCCATTGAGATCATAGACCTCTTTTACAATGGTGACCTGCTTCAATTAGTTCCAAACATTAATACAAACATGACAGAAAACAAAGGACATTATATGATACTACAGTTTGTATACTAGTAGCATTTACAGACACCAATATTTTCTGATTGTATAGCGTCTATCCTAGCTTTAAAAACATGAAATGGAATCAAACTGCTTAGCTTCCATTCCTTTTGTTTTTGTTAATATAAAGGACATCTCTCTATTCATGATTTGTATTTCTTACATGTCTGTCCTTTCCTGTGTTTCACCCTTATTTCAGTTGCTGCTCCTGAATTTTCCTTCAAGTGTCAATAAAGGTTTATCTTATCCAATAAGGCAGGGGTGTCAAACTGAAATACACAGTGGGCCAAAATAAAAAAATCGGTACTAGTGGAAGGCCGGACTGGTTCAATGTTTATTGCAGAACTTATTGAAATGAACTTATCGCACATATTAAACCTGGAACTAACAAAGCTTAAATTATTGCCTAAAGAAACAATATTAAACATTAAATAATCAGTTGCATTCATTTCTTATGGCTCTATCTGCAGCTTTTCCAGAGTCATTTCTTATGATTACATTTTTCAGGCCAACAACAGCTTCAACAAAACTATTCCCCTCAAAGAAAAAACCAAACATGCCCTGCTGTCTCAAGAAACAAAGTGCAGAAGGAAACATCCATTAAACTCAGGTTGCTGCTCTGTGATGCTAGTTCAAGCCAGATACTTGGCATCTCATCTCGGGTGCAAGTTCATCAATGTTTGGGCTCAGGCTCTGAGCTGAGGAAACCCTCAGGATGGAGTGAAGGTGTGCGTGCAATATACCGGCGGGCCAGATCTAATAGTAATATGAAATGATCCTGCGGGCCGAAATTAAATCTACCAAGGGCCTGATTTGGCCCCCGGGCCTTGAGTTTGACACATGTGCAATAAGGTATTCAAGAGGAAGCATTGAGACCTTACAATAGATCATTTACCAAAAGGTTTTACATTTTCTTTGCCATTCCTTGTCAAAATAACAAATACACAACCCTTTGCTTTGTGCCAGAGCTTTTATTAACAAACAGTAGAAAACATTAGTTGCCACTGCACATGTAGAAATTCAATTATGTTTTATTTAGAAGCATATTAAAAGACTTGTTACAAAAAGGAAAAGCATTCACATAACCGCTTAGTTAAGGCAATGGTCAGACCAATTCATACGGGGTTTTCACTTACACACACATCAACTGAGTAAAGCGGCGCAGTCGTCCTGTTTCTGAAGCAAACCTGTCTTAGTATGTGAACCAGATTGTAGCCAATGATGTAAAACATTCACACTTTAGGTTTTACTTCAACTGGAAGGACATTTGCTCTACACTGAGTCGGTTAAGAGGTTTTCCTTCTTTGGCTAAAGGTTTACATTTCAATTAAAAAGGCACAAAACGGAGCAACCGTTTAGTTCACATCATACCAGTTGAATTACATCCTTTCATAATAATACATTTTAACCATTCAACACCCTCTCATTACATTTGACCAAAAAGGCACTTCGGATTAATGCCGCAGTTATTGTGAAAGACTTTGGTTTAGAGCAAGTGACACATTGGTGTGACAGCAACCCACCACAACATTTTAAATATAATGCAAACACGCAATATTATGAAAGAGCTGATGCATAGTGATAGCAGTTCAGTATTGCAAGATAACTGACAGACCGCAGATGTGGCCATCTTTAAAATGGCTAAATGAATTGTAAACAGGACAAGGTTGAAAGATAAACTCTAAAAAAAGGTCTGAGTTTGGCTCGTGCGTTCATACAAATATGAAATAAATAATTATACATACATATAAAAAGATGCCCTCCACCATGTTACACTGCTTACAACAGCAGGGTTAACAAATCCCTCATTAATTTTTGGTTGTATTATGTTCACCATTAGTGTCATTGACAATATTTGCCAAGAGCAGCATTACATTTTAACTTCTGCCTTCTTTGACCATTTCTCTTTTGACAAAACATCAGGGAATAGTTTACCGTTCAAAGTCTTACACACGCTTTGCCGAGCACATTTTACTGAAGGCACACATGTGAAACTCAGGCAACCCTGGAGGATTCACCATACAGATCCAAAAATCACAATCTCTCCACCATGAGTCCACAGATTCATCAGCCGTCTTCCTAATCGTTCTTCAGAGCGTCTCCGTTCTTCAGAGCGTCTCCGTTCTTCAGCTCCCTCATCTTCCTCCTGTTCAGGTACCCGGTGCGCTGCAGACGGTTCATCCTTGCTCCAAAGAAGATGACCAGGTCGATCGGCACCAGCTTGGTGGTCAGCCAGCCCTGGGAGGAAGGAAACATAAAAAAGGATTGTGGGTTAAACTACAGCTTTTAGGATTTCCTCTTTGGAAACAGAAAGATGAATGAAAACCTTTTACAGGACATATTGGAAAATGTAGGTTTTATATCAATTACACACATTTGTAAGCATGAAAAAACAGTGTTTAACCCTCCTGTTGTCTTCGGGTCAAATCTGATCGATTTACTACTTTCATCAATCATAACTTTTTTGTTTTACATTCGATTGCATTAAGGCTTTATGATATCCTTCACAGTAGACATTTGAACATATCAAATAGCTGATCACCACTTTCATTGAATGTTGGATGATTTAGTCAACTTTGTAACACCCATGGTGTTCCCGGCCAAACATGACCGCCATAAAGAAAAGGAATTAGTAACCATCCGGATCAGATAAACACACACACAAACACCAACACACGCACACACACATACTCTAGATGTGTTCCCCCACCCGTATGTGCCCATCCCCCCACATGGATCACACCTGGCACACGCAATACATGTTCAGTGTCTGTTCTTTGTATATTTACTGCAGTTGTTCATGTATGCCAGTATTCTGATACAATATGTACAGTTTGAAAGGGTGTTAAATGAAATGTGGTGATGATTAATGGTTTTTGTGTTAATGTGATAGCAGTTAAAACAGGACCGGTCAAATTTGACCTCGAACACCAAAGTAAGGGGGGGGGAAACGAAGACAATAGGAGGGTTAAGCAAGTTATACATAATAGGTTCAAGGTTTGGTCATTCGCACCACAGCTAAAATTTAGTTGTTAGCAAATCACAAATCGAAAGCATAGCAATGCTTCTATGTCAAATATTTCACAGTATTAACAACTTTTATTAAGTTGTTGTGTTATATTCATTGTTTTATTAAGCCTAGCATCCTGGATGTACACTAGAAATGCATTTCAACTGAATATATATTTTACATTAAAGTGCTAATGGGGAACCAGAAGAACCTTTTGTATCTTAGCCTGTGGAGTGAGACTATGGAACAGTGTGAATGTGGAGCTAAAGCGATGTCGAGACATTAACCAGGTCAAGAGGAAATACAGAGACATTATTTTCTCCAGGTACAGGGATGGGGAAGGTGTTTGACTGTGTATATGTGTGAGTATGTAGGTGTGTATATGTATATATGTCCAACAGGTAAAGCAGATTAATAATAACAATAATAATTAATAATGATAATTATTTATAGATTATAAATAAATCATTTAGGGACAAGGGGGTGAGATTAAATAAATTATACTTCTTCTCACTCCTTTTCGAACACTAGATGTGGGACTGTTTATGTTGCTAATGCGGTTGTAAATGTAATTTTTTTGTTTTTATTTCTCTTACATGACTATGCACTGCAACATTTGTTTTGTTCGAAATAAAATGTATCAATCAAATAATGGGGAATAAATCAACTACTGAGCAAGAAAGTTTAGTTTGAAGTCTGACAATAACTAAGATAAGTTGCTCGTCACAGCAACAAGTACAATAAGAGTGAAACGGGCTACAGAAAGCAAGGGTTCACACAAGGATAATAAACATCAAATGTAAGAAATAAAAATGAAAGTAACTGTATAAATATAAACATGATTATGGATATGTCAAATATGTCAATTTGGAAGTGCGAGTCCAACGTATGTGCATTATGGTGCAAGACATAAATGCATACAGTGCAAGTAACCATCTACATTAATGTTTACTTGATGTATACTTGGATAGGTTGAGCATTTCAATATAAAGGTTTCCAGTTCTTACCATGACGGCATGAGGGAAATATCCATTGGTTTGGCTCTGCAGACCCACAGTGGCAAGCTCAGACAGCACATAGCGGTCGGGGGTGGGTTTGTCCAGGGTGGGCTTCCTGATGCGAGTCATTTTGGTCACCACGAAGAAGGGCAGCACACTCTGCATGAGGACAAAGGGAAAGTGTGAGATACGCTCAGATAAAAGCCCTTAAAACGAGAGAGTCCACACTCTAAAGTTCAACCAGGGGCATTTGGGACCAATGGTGGTATAAGAGGCACTTTTAAAATGACATAATATATTTTCTGTAGGTTTGTGTGATGACTTGGGTTATCAGGTGAGAACACACTCAGGGTTTGCTGAGGTGAAACTGCTGTAAACACTTTAACCACCAGGTGGCACATGAGAATACTACAGAGGAGCTAAAAACAGAACAAACAAGCCTCATGTGGAACATCAAATTCAAAAATACCTCTGCGGTATAAATGCATCTACATGAATGTGTTTTGATTGAATTACACTTCAGGCAGGACTGGCTGAGAGCAAACGGATTCTTTTGAGGTAAATATGTGAGGCAATTCTATCAGGGGTCATCAGATGGACAAATCTTAGATGCTTTTTCCGTGTGTATTCGATTCTATAAAACAATGGTACGCTTTGTTCTACTGTAACTCAAAGTAAGCAAGAAACCATTTTGTTAAGCAGTTCTCTTTCTGGCATCCATCAGGCTCAATAGCCAAATAACTGTAAGTGTCTTCCTACTCTTTTGCTAAAAAACAAAACAAGGTGGAGGAGGTTAATCCCATTTGGCCAAACTCAATCTCACCTGGATGATGACGCCCTGACGCCTGTACTCTTCCTGAAGGCCACGAGAGAAGAAATCCACAAAGGCCTGCAACCAGAACGATGAAAGGAGGATACATTTAAAACACACCAGTCTGTAAAATGTTGTTTGTCATCACAGCCTTCAAATTAGGCAACATGAGGAAGGGTCGGCATCATGAAACTAACAAGGTACTGAAAACTAATTCTTATAAATGACAGAAGCAGAGATGTTTCCATACCTTTGTGGAAGAGTAGACGGTGAGCAGAGGGAGGGGGTACATGCCGCTGGCAGAGGAGATGTTCAGGACGACTCCTTTGGACCTGAGGAACACAACAAGGTGGATTTAGGACAAGGACGTTGCTTTATTGTAAGGCTAAGAGTAGCACTGCAACAGGCACATTGCAAGGACTCAAATTGAGTGTTGTACGAGATGGCATCAGTCAGAATGGTGCATCATTTCGGGAATATTTTCGAATTAAGAAAGCCTGCTGAAAATCCTCCATTTCAACACAGCTGTCATAAACAAATGTACATGGAGTTCCTCCTTTGCAATACACTGATTTTCAGAAGTCCTTTTCTTCTTTAAATCCACAAACTTTTAGAAAGATTTTCCATGCCAGTGGAAACCCTGCATCTATACAAATCGCGCACACACACACGCTTACAAACACACACAAAGTGATGTTCCACACACACACTAAAACAGTGTGGTAGTGGCCGTGTGTGTTGCCATGGCAGCCTGTTGCTGCAGTGATGTAGTGGAGCGACGCTCCAGCCTCACACGGCACCAAATGTGCTGCGCTGCGATTGGCCGACAGGAGTCACATGGGAGCAGCGCAGCCAATCGGGTGGGAAGAGCACTTTGTGTGAATTGAAAGCTTGTCAGCAGTGTGAACAAAGGAGGAGAGGAGATGCAGGGAAGGAAAGGACTAGGAGAGGATTTCTTATTCTCTTACTGGTTTTATATAAAGTGTAATCTTCCAAATACTTTTCTTGTAAAAAATGTTTAATTTCAAGATTTCTTGTGTAGCTTTTGTGTTACAATCCCTCATTTAACAACAACTATTTGACCGCAGTCATGTCGCAGAACATGGAGGCCCATCATTGAACTCACCTCTCAGCCATCCTGGGCAGCACCAGGCGGGTCATCTGAGGAAACGACAACAGGCTCATTCAGAATCAGCAGTCAAAAACAATGATACAACTCATGAAGGAGAGGAAAGAGTTTTATTTAATAAAAGACTATAAGTTTTAAGGAGAGAGAGAGACGGGCAGAGAGAGAGTTGCGTGGGTGGCAAGCACAGACAGCGTTGGTGTAGTCCACCGTTGCTTTGGGAACAACTGAGACACTGCAGGTACCGTGAAGAAACGGCAGAAGAGGAGGAGGAGGAAGAAGAAGAGGAGGAGAACAAAAGGGGGAAAAGTGAGCAAGAAAGTGATATGCATGGGAAACTTTAAAAAACAGTTCATATGATTATGTAGTTGGAAATCAGAACTGAACATATTCTTCCTGAAGAGCAGCAATATGCAGAGACGCTTGAAAACAAACTCACATGGCAGACTGAAGTTATGTTGACGTTAACCATGTTTGTGATGAACTGTAACAGAAAGCACCAGTCAGCTAAACACTCACACAGATTATCTTTAAACAGTAAAGAACTTAAAAAGATATAAAAGGAAGCACATTATTTGGATATTCAGTGCATTAAATGTAGCTAGAATGTTAAGGCTTAAGACGAAGAAAACCGGTATTATTTTTTGCTTTTTTCACGTTTAAAAAAGGACAGAGTGCACTTTTAATTAGCAGCATTTCCATTTGAAATCATAATTAATACAATTAAAATAAAACTCACATTGTCCAGATCAGGAATATTGAGGTAGTACTCGGGGTAGGGGTAGGAAACACCAACATTGTTCACTGTTGAAAACAAAAAAAGGAAAAAAAGAAGTTATACTATCTTCCCAAAACAACTTGGATGCTGAAGAAAGCTCAGAAATTAACCACAAGGTGGAAGCAAAAGCAAACGAGACATTCCTAGTCCACACAGCCACACCTTACCAGTAGAGCACATTTGGCAAGAACAAAGAGTTCCTAAAATGTTCGACTAAAAAGTATGATGTCAACTCTTGGGTGTAGACGTCTAGAAATACAACAACAGCTGACATAAGTGCATCTTTAAAAACGTACACCATGAGGTTATGTTAAGTCTCTTAAGTAGTATTTATGCTCGGATAACGCGTGGGTTTCGTAAGAATAATTTAACCAGACTTCAGAAATTAGTCAAGGTTTTCTGTCAGTCTAGACAAATAATTCAATTCAAGAATCTAAATCTCAGGAGTTTAAAAGTGATCAAATGACTCCACTGTTTAGAGAGAATTTGCAAATATCACCACTGTTACTTTCCAAAATAAGTGTTTGTAAGATTTCACTTGGCTGATGCAGTATGTCGTGAAATTTAAGGTAGGTTACCCAAGCAGAAAAATAAGGCCAAAGTGCAAAACTTTGTGTGGTACAACAACCTTTAACCAAATGAATAATGTCCTATTATTAAATGCTACAGACTAGGGGGCTTCTGCTGTGAACACAATGCCGCTTAAACACATGGCAAGTGAATGTAAAAATATCATGAAGTGGTGTTTGCCTTCTTCAGTGTTGCTCTCTTATGTCTGCATTACAAAAGGGTCTTGGAGTATGTTAACTTCACTGAAGAAGAACAATAAAAAAGCACGAGCTTCGAGGTGCAAGGTAAAAATTGGTAGAGAAAAGGATCAAAACAAAAAATCAGAATTTACCAAGAACCCCGATCTCTAATCCAGCCAGCCCCGCCTCGATCTTTTTGTAAATGTCACTCCTGCCAAAGTCCACTGCGATGGTCCCGGTCTCCACGTTGTACTGTTCCTCTGAAAAGGAGAAACACATTTTCATTTACTATAATGTTACAACAATATATATTTTTTCCATTTAACCATTAGTTAACCTTGTAAGGCCAGCTGAGATTAACTACAACTTCCACGAGGCTACCTTGGCTGGAGAGCAGCATTCAAAAGTTACACACGACAACCCAACATCGAAGAAAAGAAAAACAAATGTGTGGATATATCAAATACACATGCACAGTGACAGGCAGCATTTGATTTGTTCACCATAAAACGAGACCAATTTACTTTGTTCTGAGGGGAGCACAGTAAAGCTTGGTCACTCCTTTCTATGCATGGCAACAATTACATTTTACAATTTCAGTGATAAAACTAACTCAGTAATGTTAATTAATCTAGCGTTCACCCTACACTCATGTCACAAACGAGCAAGACTGACATGAGCAACCCCCGTTTCAAATGAATGTAGCATGAAACCAGTAACCGTGAGACTTGAACTGAAGAGGGCACTGCATACTAACAAACCAGCCGAGCAACAACCACCCCCCCCCCCCCCCCCCTTAACTCCGCCGTCATGTTTGACGCGCCTGCTGCAATTACAATTGTCCAAAGACTCATTTAGCTGATAGGTGGCAGAGGGGGTTATAAGATGAAAATTCCTCTGATTTGCTTTGACAAAGACCAGCAGTGTGTCAGAGGATATTCAGAGTTTAGACTAGGGGAAAAAAAGGGGGGGACCTGAGAGATGCAAGTAAAAAATAAAGGGTAGGGTTGCTAGACTCCCTGAAATCTATATCCAGCTCAGATTATATTTAGACATCACAACCTCTTTGGGTTAAAGCAAGGAAAAAACGAGATCAAATAATAAGCTTTGGACATGATGGCAAATAAATATTAAGGCTCCAAATTGGTATCATTTTGGGGTTGCCAGGTATGTGTGATTTAAAAAAAAACTATGCACATATTTGCAAGAGAAAAACATTGTTAATTTAATTACAGGTGGGACAGGGCGGTTCATGCGGTTACATGCAAAGGAGGGCGGTGTTTTTTCCCCACTAATGGTGAGGGAGGAGTGCCAGAGTTTGGCACAATGCATCCCGCTCGTGACTACCCATCAGCCCCCTCTGTGGACTTGAAGCACGACAGGGGAAATTGCGCTGTGGGAGACGTCAGAGACAGATGGAAAGAGAGCGAGTCAGGGAGAGGGCACTATTTAAACAGAGGGGGGTGGGGGGGGGGGGACACTCACCATTCAGACTGTGTTTTAACCTGGTGTAGCCTTTAACACAGATGCTCATTTTACATCTGAATGAGGAATGCATGGTTTTGTTTTTTACGAAATCTCAGGAACGGGTTATTTAATGAGTCCGTTACAAAATCAAGACTGATATTTAACCCATCTTCCTTCATACCAAGAGGGGAAGTTCTTAGACACAGCAATGCCTTTGTTAGCTGCACGTTTCCAAATCAACAACACTTCTACAGAATGGAGGCACGACTTGGTAGATGCAAAGGTTTGGAGAGTAAATCTACTCAAACAAATACTTTGTTTTTGAAATATGAAGCTGATTGATCCACACCTGTTGCAACACTACATAGTCAATGTAAAATAAACTCATGCAAACCTGGATTTTTTTTTCCTTAAACAGTGCAGCGATTATTTTCCCATTTTGTTTTCATTATAAATCCTTAGGTCAAGGCTATAGAGGCCCTCTTATCTGGGCCTTGGAAACCCTGTAGTCGACAGGGTGGTAGGTTGCGCGTCACATCCCGTCCACACACACACACATCCCGTCCACACACACACACCCCCCGTCCACACCCTCAGCAGCCCACTCACTGTGCTCTTACACCAAATGGATTTCCATGATGTTGTGCAGACCAACAAAAAAACAAACACTTACTTAGTAACCTGGCCACGTCATCCAGCTTGTCCTGGGAGCGACTGATCAACATCAAGGCAAATCCACGGCGAGCCAGCTGGAACGAGAAATACAGTACGTTAGTAAGGAATGCATCTTTTAATATATAGGTGGACAATTTCATGTAAATTGAAACTACTGATGGCAGCAAAAGGGACAGACAATTTGGAATATCAGTGCCTAGAAATCACTGTCTTGTCAGTTTCATTTAACATATCAAGTCATATCATAGATGTTTTACTTTAATGAATTCAAGTGGTGGATTTCTGTATAAATACCAACACAAGCATAATACACTGGGTAAAATGGCGGCCTAGCGTTGCGTGACAAGCAGCTAGACCGAGCGTAGCACCAACAGCAACAGTATGAGTCAAAGGCCCTACATGACTACATTATACAGCCAGCACACACACAGCAGTTTGGGTCGACATGAGGACGGGTAGCCCAGATCCAACGTGTGCTTGTTACCTCAATATGAGCTCTCGTTGACGAACCTGTATTGAAGTGCATATGTGTGAGGACTCTCTTCCACGCTAATAGGTCTGTAAGAGCTCTCCCCTACCGTGGCCTATGAGTGAACAGTGTGTGTGTGTGTGTGTGTGTGAGTCACAGCTATGCCTTGATAGAAATTAAATAAACAAGGGCCCGGGAGCCTCACCTCCTCCGCATAGGATTTCCCGATTCCATCAGTGGCGCCCGTCACAACTGGAGACAGAAAAGAAAGATATGTTAGTTTTGTTTCTCTTTTTTTTACAATAATCATACATACAGTATGTAGCAGGTCAGAGGTGGAGTCTATTTAACTAATAAGGGAGTAGATGCTCTTAAAAATCCCTAAAAGTTGAACAAACCAGTTCATAATCCTTGATAATGAATTATTGAGACTATGATTTCACTTTACGTTTTGGATCCATGTTCTCCAAACCTGTCAAATGACATTATCAGCATTTCACTGTCGGTCACACACTTTCTCCATCCACCATTTATCATTCTTTCACCGCTTGTGTTATCTTTGATCTCCTCTACAGTAAAAATTAACCTCACAAATATAGTCCTCATTGTTCACAGGCTTACGACACACCTTCACACATCAGGTTAGACCACTTTAAGTATTCTCAATAATAACAACTCAGAGTCTCGACGTGGAGTTAAGCCCGGGGCTGTTCACAGGTGACGACGAGACAGGTATAAGAACACCTTACAAGCGGTACATCTATTATCAGCCACACCTTAAAGTACAATTAAACTGCTATTTAGGAAAGGCCTCTTTCTAAGCTCTTAACGCATACTCAATGTCAAGCAATGTTTCTTTTGGATGACGGTGTCTATTTTCACGCAGAAATAGGGAGTGTGAAGATGGAGCAGATATGAATATAAAAACAAGACAATAAAGATGGGAGGTAAATCCCAAAGCAAAGAAAGGATGAAGATTGTATAGAAGTGGAGATAAGATAGATTTAAGCAGAACAAAAAGGTATAGGATTCACCTCAACGTGAGGACAAGACGATGATCCTCAAGATCAGGTTTATCTGACTGATAATCTAGCGTATCTGCAGTTTATACAAAAAGAGGAAGGAGAATGGCGTAAAGAACGGAGCAATTTGGGCAGAAAATCAGGGGAAATATTGAATAAAAGCACAACAAGAGAGTGGTCGAATGTCGGGGAGACCGAGAGAGGGAGCTGATGTACTTCCAGTGTTCAGAGATCCTCACCTTGTCAAGCAAGCAGAGCTATTTTTAAATCAACCCCAGCTCCTTCTTAAATGACGGAGGAAGAAAGGGGAAGAGAAGGAGGACAAAAAGGGGGTGAAGGTGGTGAGGAGGGATTGGGGTACTCACAAATACACACACACACGCATCATGAATATATTATTAGCAAAGCTTGATGAAAGATTAATAGACGTAGAGGACATTCTCTGGCAAAGAGCAGCAAAAAGAGACAAGATGAGAGAGGGGGGGGACGCGAGGAGGGGGAGGAGGGAGTGATGACGAACATTGAGCGGGAGAAAGGAGGAGGGCGAAGTGGGGTAGGGAGGATGGGTGAGGAGGGATCCTAGGGGCGGCTAAAAATAGAACGAAGAGAACGAATGAGCGAAGGAGACAGAATAGGGATGGTGGTGGAGGGGAAGAGAGGAAGATGAAGAGGGGGAGAAGAAGAGGGGGGCACAAAGTCAAAAGAAAGCAGAATCCCTGGTTATTTTTAAACCCCCCCCCCCGTGTTAAGAATGAAACGCTCCGTGGCAGAAAAGCCTCAATGGGCGCGGGCTGTACCAACTCAGGGTCTCGCTGCAGATGCAGGAGGGGGAGAGGGGGAAGCAGCGCTGTGAAGTAAAATGGCTGAGGGGGGGGGGGGGGGGGGGAGACAACAACCACCTCAACATCAAAATCAGCTTCTTCTAATATAATCAAGTGAAGTGAACGAGGCTTATTTGCTTCAAGAGCGACACAAAGTCAAATCTATATCACAAACAAATAAAATATGATGTTCCGTAAACATGTTAAATATATATGTTCTCACAATTGCCAGGATCGGTAAAATGCGGTTATTTTTAGGTGACAATCATGCAAAATGTGAGTTTATCTGATTACTATTGAAGGAATAAAATGATTATTAAGAGAGTTAAGAGCATGACAATTAAGACGACTGGAGTTACAAGGACGCTTGAGTCGAGGGTAACATCAGAACAGCCTCTTCAGAGACATTTTGTACCAACAGGAGAAAGAAAGGAACATTTCATCACACCGAGGCCTCCAATGCCTTCGAGGAAGATATGACAATGACTGTTGAAAAGTACTGTCCATAAAAATGAAACCATAAAACCCAACGAGGAGCCTCAGTGCACCGACCACATTCCCGCCGTCAGACAGGACTGTAAAAACACCCTAAAGAAAAGCACCTGATGTCGTTCCCCTCGGAGTGTCACGTGCATCTGTGTGAAAGTATGTGTTCAAAATGCACGTATCGCATAGGCATGTGAACTTTAATCTGGTGGCGGAGAAGCGCAAGAATCTGTCACGCTCCAAAACACATGACCGTTTGAACTCTAATGTGACGGAAAATAACATACCGTGTGCCAAGTGCCATCTTAACTTCACACTTTATGGTTCGATTACTGTCACACAGAAAACAGATACAAGTGTAATCAAACAGGTTCACTAACCCTCGAGTCTCTCATCACTAAACAACAAGTTAAATCTCTCTTATTAGCAAAGTCTGCTGCAATTCAAAACCTACACATTGTAGACCTTAAAAGAGACTATTTCATTATATAAGAATACATACTAAATATAGGAACTGGCATCAGAATGTGCCCCTATATCTAAAGACATATTTCTAGCTTTGCTCTCACTACTTTCATTTTAACAGAATTTAACAGTGAAAAGAACTGATCTACTAAAAATATAACAAAGTACTTTTGAAGTATGTCAAATGTATACTTTGTGTACTCTTGGAACCTGGGCGGCAGGTATGTTTTGAGAATAACCCCTCCACCCTCCCCCCCCTCTGGCCTCCAAGACATTTCCTTTACAGTTCACCCATCGTCAGTGCAACAAATATTCTAAGTAACATTTAATAATGGATATGGAGAATATCATATATATATATATATATATATATATATGATATATATACACACTAAATAAATGAGGAAATAAAATCCTACACTGGAGGCTACATACAGTGAATATGAGGACATGTCAAATAAAGAAAGAAACCTATTAAAGTCTTGCACTGAACACAGTGTCCAGAAATAGCATTGTTCAGTTCAGTCACAAACAAACTCCCCGGTGCTCCCAGCAGGACTTCATTTCCTTCACGTTAGCAACACATTACAGCTGTGACACACTCTCTCTCTCACACGTAATGTAACAAAAGCATCTACGCAAGCAAGCACGTGACTGAGAGCACCGCTACTGACGCTCAGAGACACACAACAAAGGCTGAAAGCGTGTTGATGGGGCAAATGAGAGTGAAGTGTGCAATAATACAAAAATAAGATGATTCTGTAGAGGGCGAGGAAGACTAGAGGTGGAGCGAAAGTAGAAGAGAAAACAGTCAGTTACAATTCTGCGTTACTAGTATTCCTGAATTGGAAATGTAACTGAAGTAGAAATACAGAAGCATGATTACTTACAGGAACAATATTAACACCCAAAATGTAATGGATTACAATTATATATAGCATATTGTATTATGGAAATACTCAAATCAACGACAACGGTGTCAAAATGGTCGAATACTTGAGTAAATGTAGTTTGTTACATTGCAAAACTGGGTAAGAGGAGTGTGTGAACGTATTACGAGTGTGTGTGTGTGTGTGTGTGTGTGTGTGTGTGTGAGTCCTCTCATTCATTCCCAGCACCCAGAAATGGAGGGAGATTGTGAGAGAAATTTGACTTGAGAACAACATTTCATTTGAAGAACATGGTGCTGTAGAGTGAAATAAAAAGCAAAATATAGAGACAGAGAAACACACACTAGCTGTATGGAGAGAGGCAGGAAGTGTGTGTGTGTGTTGCCTCTCATTCCTTCCCAGCACCGACGCTCTGATCCCAGTTCTTTCTCCTCAGAGCTGCTCCACCCTGCCTGCTCTGAAGCGTCCTGACGGGGGCGCCACATCTCTGCCACGCTTATTGCTGCACATCACCCGAGGTATTGACATCCCCCAGCCTTTTCTCCCTCCCTTTTCTCCCTCCCTTCCCTCCGCCCTCCTCCGCAGTAGAGCAGCCCCTGCCTGCTCACTATTCCGAGGGTCTAAAAAAAGCAGCAGGAGGAGTAAAAATAGCAGCGCCTGCACTGCCTCGTCTGGGATCTGCCTGCCTGCCGCAGCACCTGAATACCAAACAGACCTCCCCCCCACCACCATCATCATCCCCATCACCAGGACGACCAGCCTGCTGCATCCTCAGCCCTTCACCTAAAGCCTGCAGATGCCACAATGAGCTCTGCAGGCTGGGAAAAACACACAGGATCTGATTTGTTGAGCAGTGGAAAAAAGCAGAATGTGAAGAATTGTTTAGATTGACATGGATCGCCATGGATACATGTTTGAGGAAGAGAAGCTGGTGTTAAACTGCACATCTTGAGGAAGATGAAGGTTCAAATGGTTTGCTGATGAGTAGAAAAAGCTAAAACTAGAAAACTGGCATGGTGTGACCATCAGTTATCCAAAATTGTGAGTTATGTCAGATTCAAACCCCCCCCCCCCCCATCACATCCACAATTAAGATTCTCAGTGAGGAGAGACTGCGGTCCTTGTATGCCCCGCTCTCCTTACGTCCTCTTATGTAATCTGTCGCACCCCAAACTCGCCTATCAACAAGCAGCCCCCCCCCCCCCCCTTTCCTCAGATGGAGAAAACAAAAAACGATGGAGGGAGGGATGCAGCATGAAGATCCAAAGACAGCTCATCACCCTCACCCAAACACATATTCTCCATCCGCCCACCTTCCACATTCAAACACATGCTGCTGAAAATAGCAGGGGGGGGAGGAGCAGAGTCACATGGGTGATAGAAAAGTCGACAAAAATAAGGCAGGATCGGGCCGGGGGAGACGGAGAAATGAGGGAGAGGGAGACAGAAAAGAGAACTTCAGAGCTGCCCAAGATAGAAGCAGCGTCTATATTTGGGTACAGAGGGGAAAAAAATCAATAGTTGCTTCACTGCAATAACTTGGATGGAGATATTTTTAAAGTAACTAG